CCCCCCCCAAACACACACGCACCCCACAAACACGCACCTTTTCCCCAACTAACTCAATTTAACCATCTAGTATTGAACGCCTTGAGGTGAGGAACCTTGAACAAGTTCTGTTTAGATATCAAATTTAGAGTCCATGTCAACGAATTTGTTTCATGTCCCACTCCTTCAAAACCGTTAAGCGATCTTTAATTAAACCAAACCTCTTCCTGATAACGCTACCGTACCTAACATTGACTTGCATGGTAGGCTTCCACAATACAATGTTTCAATGTACATTGTACATATTCTATTATTTTAACATCTGTCATATTTCCTTACTCCAGAAGCAAACTCATTATACAACTCCATTAATTCCTGCACACTGTGTGTATCAATACGATAAAAAATAAAAGTAAAACACAACTTTGTGCTTTTGAACTTAAGTTTTGATACAAGAAAAGCTGACTATGCTTGATAAAATACATATATGGAATTACATTAGTTTGCTTTAAAATATTTTTTTGTAGGTTAATGTCGACTATTATAAATAGTTAAATAAAACCAGATATATCGAATATACTCTGAACTGTAAATGGGATATCGAGTAAAGTTATAAAACACAACAAAATACAACGACCAACATTGGCGACAACTACGAAACTATCGACCAAGTGCGCTACGCATGGCTCAGTATGCGACATAAACAAGCGTTGTCACCTTGGGGACGTCATCATTGACAGGTAGTTGCACCGGTAGAGCTGGCATTCACACCTCGTAATGACTGTGTTACACACCAGTCATGTAGTGCTAAGGCTGCTGGCGGGACTCTCCAATACATAGCTCATCTTCACGGAACTTTAAGGGCGAGATGTCTGTGTGATACAAAATCGATACTTGATTGACAGGACCTTGTGTTGTTTATAGCAGTCTATACTGTAAGGTCTGATATAACTATTGGCAGTGTTGCAGTATTTGTAAAAGAGTTAGGGTGTGTTTAGTATGTATCTTACGCACCTGTGCCCGTGTGATTACCAACTATTTCTATCATTGCCAGGTGAGTGACTGTATTTCCAAAGAAAAGTCCTACGATACTGCAGTTGTCAAGTTATTAGAAACTTTGTGAGTCATTCAAAAGAAATGGCATTGACCAATTTTGTTGACAATATATTGATCAGGATACTTTGCTATCTTCATTTATTATTTATTCAGCTGTGTTATATTCAGCGGTTAATTAAAATAGTGTTTTATTTCTACAATGTTTATTGCCTTCATAATGGATCATTTGGGACTTGATTAATATTAAATTAGAAACAAGCAATACATTATTGATACTACTGTAAATTGTAAGTTTAAAACATTTTTGAATTGAAAACGAAAAAAAGTAATGGCAAAACTATAAAAAGTCCAGGTCCTTTTAGCAGGCTGTTAATATTTCAGTAAGTAAATGTTTATATTCAACATTTTGTATGTAGGTAACATGCACATTATGGTACCAGGTAAAACATGTTGATATTTCAAATCTGGAAAATACAGTTGGTGTTTAAATAACAAAACTGTAAAACTGATTTGAAAGATATAATTCATCAACTCATCAGGCCCAAAATTCTACTGGATTGAAACATTTAAAAAAAAGAAGCAATACATGGTCTCCCTCATTAGAGGTTCAGATGTTAATACCTATGATGGGGAGGGAGTGTTGATAGAGACGGAGAGGGACTGGAGAGGATAGACGAGAAGGGGATGGAGTTAATATGGGAAGGGTATAGATTGGGAAGAGACTGTAAACTTTATAAATTGGTGGTGCAGTTATAAGTGTGGATGGAGACGGGTGTATAGATGAAAAAATGGTGTAGGTTGGGATGGGGGAAATGAGGATGTATAGGTTTGGTTGGTGAGGGTGTAGATGCCTTCTAGTTGGGGGACTAAAATTGGTGGTGTACATATACGTAGATGAGTTGGGTGGGTGTTGGGGGTGGAGTGATGTAGATAGAGAAGTGGCATGTAGGTAGAGGGGTGGGGATTGGAGTAGGATGATGTAGATAGAGAGGTGGCGTAGGTAGAAGGGTGGGGAATGGAGTAGGGGGATAGAGAGGTAGCTTAGGTAAAGATTTGAGAAATGAGAAGGAGGAGGAGGAGTATGTGTAGGTTTGGTTGGGGAGGAAGTAGATGCCTACTAGCTGTTGGGGAAGGTTTTATTGACTTCAGTAGTAGATGGGAGAGGGGTATAGATGGGGAAGGAAAATTTGATAAAGTTTGTACGATAGAGACAGAATATATGTATGGGGACAGGGGCTTGGAAAGGGGTATATTTGTAGTTTGGGAGGGGATCATTGACTAGAGTTTGTAGCAGATGGGCCAGTTTGATGTATGCATTAGGAGGGCACCAAGCTTTTAGTATATATGGGGGTCAAGGAGTGGTGTACATTTGTAGATTGGAAAAGGATCACCGACCAAATTCGTAATTTATAGATTGTCGTTCATTGACAGAGTTTGTAGCATAAATGGCAATTGGATCATTGACCAAAGGGGAGAAGATAATTGACTGATTAAGGAAGGGGATCATTTACTGAATAGGGGATTTGGAGAGGAGTACAAGGACTGATTAAGGAAGGGGATCATTTACTGAGAAGGGGAATTTGGAGAGGAGTACAACGACTGATTAAGGAAAGGGATCATTTACTGAGTAGGGGATTTGGAGAGGTGTACAACGACTGAGTTGGGAAGGGGATAATTGACCTAGGAGGGAATGTTTCATTGACCAAGTTTAAGGGGGATGGAATCATTGACCAAGTTTAGGGGGGATGGAATCATTGACCAAGTTTAGGGGGGATTGAATCATTGACCAAGTTTAGGGGGAATGAAATCATTGACCAAGTTGAGGACGGGACCATTGAACGAGTTTAGGGTGGGTGGGGATAATTGACTGAGTTAGTAGTATAGATAGGGATGAAATGTTGAATGAGGGAGTTTTATAGATGAGGTATATTGATATTATGTAAATATTTATATAAATGAAGATTGTTTCCTTTCTAGAGAGCAAAATGTATTTATATATAATGATTGATAGTGTAGAGATTATATGGGCCGGGACATCAATGGTTATTATATAAGTTTGTGCTTAAGTAAGAACAGAAAAAATCAAATTGACTGAGAGACATCTTCATTCCTGAACACCTAAAAAGCATCACTTATGTTCTTAAATTATTAGTGACTAGACTTTCATTTATTCAAATTTCAAAGACAATCCATGTTATTTTCAATCATTTTTGCAGATAAGAGAAAAGTGACAACGACATTGATGACATACCACTGAACTACTAGAGTGTTATTTAGGCCATGGTCGAGGTGTGTCAACAAATCCCTCACACCAGCATGTCCAGCCTGAGTGATGGGGTGATGAAACACCCTAATAACAATGCAGAACTCTTCGAGTTCAACATCGGACAGGCATTGCACATGCGCTGTGTCAACACCAAAAAGGCGTGTGGACAGTGTGAATCATGCCAGTTAAATGCCAAACTAAAAGAGGCGAAAGAATGGTTGGAAAAATTTGGAGATCATTCAAAAAAACGTTTTATGCTAGGTTTAATGAGAAGGTTTCAAAGTGTAGATTTGCTGCAGCAGATGGTGACTTTGTTACAGCCCTTGTTGTGTAAAGATTTCACGTATGCCAGGAGTCGAACAGCTCCAAGCCTACAGACAGATAGGGCATCTCTCAGTTCAGATCGTGCTGTTCCAACTAAAGAGGTCGAGGCTTTCATCTTTACAACATGGAATTGGTTTCAGAAGGCCAACTATTGGTCAAAAGCGAACTATGCAATGTCTTTGCTACAGCTTTGCGACAGCCATCTGCTCCATACGCTGGGGATCCAAGCGCGAACCCTGTTGGTGTCTGAAGAGAGAGCAGCATCCTTTGCAGCAGGTATGTACCGTTACAGTATATATTGATCAGTATTCATCAAATTTGTTTTCAGCATCCAAATTTTTGTTAAGACTGGTTGTTGGACAAAAAGTTTTCATCCAAAATTGAATTTTTGATAAAAGACCCTAGTTCTTAGGTCATCTCAAAGCAGTTCACCAAATGTATCAAAACTATCTACATGATAATACCGGTAATCAATGTTCATGCTTGTTCTTGAAATCTATATGTATGTATACGTAGTTGCTTTTGAAACAAGTGTTCTATGTACACATGTAGTGGACATCGCCTACTTTTATTTCATTCTCAGCAGTGATGTCCTCTTTATGATTGAGATAGGAGTCCTATAGCCAAGGGATTAAAAAACCCAAAGAACTGTATAATTATGGTGACAGGCGTTGATTACATTTTATATATATATAATAACAACTCAGAAAATTCCGTTCTCACTGTAGGGAGAATCTTCGCTAGCCAATGGTTACGATCTGGTACGATCCAGTCTACCTGCTCTTTAAGTGAAGAGTAGAGACTGAATTGTAGAGTGAGTGAGTGGATCGTAAGCCTAGGCTTGTGAAGATGTGTATGAAGTAAACAAAGCTTTCGGTCTGTGTGGAAGGCCAGTGGCCTGGATCTAGATCTACTAAACCTGATTCCCCCTAAATCTTATTATTTACCACTGATGGAACTTTTCATCAATGAAAAAATAATGTGTTATGTTTTTTCAAAGAATCTTATACATTGTACTTTTCAATCAACTGAGCTCAGTTTTAAAAGAGGAATATTTTTTCAGTCATATTGTAACAGTCAACATGTAATCGAGGATATTTTATCTTTCCATTTTTACCGTTACCAGGACACGTTACACAATATTTCTCTTTTTTTTTTTAAGTCTCGACATAAGTGACATGACAAAATTATAATTAAAATGGTATTAGCTATTATTGAGTGCTCTTTCAGAGTTAAGTTTTTATCCTGTAATCGTTTCACCCGATGAAGTAATAAATTGCACTAGAAAAAAGTATGTGTAATTAAGAAGACCTCTGGCTGAACTTATTAAAGTTTGGTTTAAAATCCAGGTATAGTGTTTCGTCAGGTTTTTTGAATAAAAACTTCAAAGCAATCATGTGTAATTAAACATTTGTATAGCAGTCACTAAGACTCTAAGCCATTTAAAGTGTTCATACCATTATCTGTCTTAATTATATGTCCATAATTTAAGAAAACATTCCAACATTTAACAGTCTTTATTCTTAAAACTCTGCATAGGTCTCTTGAGGAAAAGGTTACATCAAGGGGGTAAAATATTAATCCATTTCCCTTAAATTTATGGCTGTGACATCAAAAAGATACATGTTCAGGTAGAAATATTTTTTTAAATTGCCTCTGTGATGAAAATTTGATGGGAAATATTGAATAACTTAAATTTAATTAATAAATTTCTCAAATTTGGAATTGTAGACTATAGGTATCAGTGGGTTGGAGGTTGTTGAGTGTGAAATTCTCTCCCGTTGTATGTTAGGTACTTTGACTTCAGTCCTTCTGTATATACACTGTATACATGTATTTGTTTGACTATATTCTGTACATACAGTCTAGATGTTTGAGAACTGTACATATTTATTTGAATAATAAAAATTGATATAGTAACTTCACAATTTAGTGTCAAGAACACATATTCAAGATGAATTCTTTTGATTCTCTGAAAAATAAACATTGTATACCAGGTAGATTGATTCAGATTTGGTTTTGTGAAAAAATAAAATAAAAAAATACCTTGTACTTTTATTGAAAATAATGAGTAGACTGGTTGCATGGCATTGTGTTAATTTGTCATTCCACATTTAAAAATGGTATAAATATGTAGGGACTTATCATTAGAGGACAAACACGAGGATTACTTGAGGAAAAAACTGTTGGAAATTCTGTTTTCTGGCATGACTGTGGTTTAGATAAATCATTTCTGATAAGAAAACCATACCTTATGGGACTTTAATGACAAATAATGAAGATGAAATAAATGAAAATATAATCAACAACAGTGTTTTCCATGTAAAATAATCAGCAGGGGTAGACCGGGATCGGAACCCTGGACTATACAAATTGATATATATACTACGACTCTTACTGAATGAGCTACCTGAGCTGGTGGACAGAGAAATCTGGGACAAACAGTGCTACAGTTATATCAGAAAGGAAATTAAGGGGAGGTTACTGAATATAGGAAAAAACACAGTGCAGTGGGACAGGGATCCTTAAGGAAATTAAGGGGAGGCTACTGTATATAGGAAAAAACACATTGAGTGGGACAGGGGTCCTTAAACTATAAACCCAGTGCTGTTTTTTAATATGTTATGTCAGCAGATTTTGCTTCTCAAAACTTAAACAGCTATTCACTTTGAGATTCAAAAGAGAATCAAGCTCAAGTTTTTGTGGGAAGTTATCGGCTTAATTTCATGCAGTGATGGTTTTAATATACATATCATTAAAACAATTACAGTGAAGCACAGACTTAATTTGAGCTGGACTTTTATCAGATTTATTTCGTTATACAGTTGGGTAGATTCAATCAATTTTTGTCTGAAGCATACTGCAGAGTAGTTAAATAACTGGTAATAAACAATAATGGGTCACGCAAACCTTGTCTGAGCTTTTTACATTTGAAGAACAATGTACACATGGTAGATTTGTGAAATCTTTGGGCCACAAGAACAAGTTAAGTTATTTGTGCATGAGTACCACAACTTGTGTCCCTATTAAAATACTCGTCTGTTACATTGCCTTGCATTGACACAATAAATGTGTTACGAGTCGAGCATGTTTTGTGGAGCATCCATCAGGTCTACTTAGTATTTTGTTAGCTTTGACTTTTGTCAAATCTCCAGAATCAGATATTTTGGTTGGAAAAAAAATCTACCTGAGCATCCATCAGGTCTACTTAGTATTTTGTTAGCTTTGACTTTTGTCAAATCTCCAGAATCAGATATTTTGGTTGGAAAAAAAATCTACTGATCAGTAGAATTCCATAAAACAGCTATACTGTTTGCTTTATGCTGGAATTGTGGAGTGGAGATTTTCAAAAAGGATCATTTAAGTCTTAATACAAAAGTTAAAAAGATAAATGAATAATCTTTGTCTCCACCCGATAATTATTTATATTTCAAAGACAATAGTTCATCCATTGTTTGTTCAAATACAATGAATGAACAATTGTTTTATAGTGTGACTTGGTCGAGACTAATATACAAGAAGGAAGACAATGATTTAAAATCTCTGATCATTCAAGTTACATCTAACATTTTATCACTGATGAGCAGTGGTGAATCTCCATTACCCTAAAACACCTAATAAACTATATTTAAAAAATAAATAAATGAATAATTAGGGGACCAATCATGTTATGATGTCAAATTCAAATTTCGAAGGAAATTTTCGAATAGTTCTTGTTGACCTTTGATTCCTGATGAAAGTTGTGACCAACGAGAAATGTGACTTTGTTACTGCTAAAACTAAAATGGCACAACTCTTTGGTCGATAAGTTTCTTTGAAATGCGTTATGAACCAAAAGATAAGATAAAATATTTTTCATTGTTTTACATAATGATTGAAAAGCTTATTTCCAACATTTAAAATGGTGTTATGAAATCCAGTTGTTTAATTTTTCTCCGTACAATCCTGAATTGGTTTTTTTACGAGCGAAGAAAATCTGGTCTTGTTGTAATCAATATATTTCTGCTATTTTTATCAAAGGAAAAATCTAGATGCATCTGGAAATTGGAAAATAATGAAACAGACAGCAAAGCTATTATGTGGGTGATTGCTTTGAAGTGGTGATTTCTTCAGAACGCATATGCGATACAAATGGATTTTTCGTTCAGTTCTTATTCTTGTCATGACTGCTTAATAGATCTATGAGAGGTGCAAACCGGATAATATACAATCTCATCAAAGACCTAACAGGGTTGTAACATCCGGAGTAGATATTTTATGACTTCCAAAGCAGATATTTTATGGGAATTATTGATGTGTGTTGATAGCAATATGTTTTCGTCTCATTTTGTAGAAGTTGTATTGACAATTTCTTGCAGGTGTTTCAAATTGTTATGGAAATTATTGATATATTGATAGCCTTATTTCTTGTTACATTTTATAGTTATTGACATTGTCTTGTATGTATCTCGTAAACAATGACTTCAAGTATATTGATTTCTGGTTATCAGAAAATATCTGTAAACATCTTTAATATGTGAACAGAAGTAAAAACAATTTTAGGACAATCAAATTTTTAACTTTTGAATAATTTGCCAGAAGAGAAGGGGTTTATAAGTAAGAGTATATGATATGACCTTTTCAGTCATTTTGATCTGAAACCCCCAAAAAATCTTTCTGGAGTATTGAAAATGATGATATACTTTTTGAAATTAACATATATATTATCATATCTCAATGGTTTGAATTGTTTCTTACATAAATGTTACCCTTTTTTTAAATTTCTGGAGCATATAAGAAAACAATAATATCAAAATTTGATGTACATACCGGTACATATATTCAAAAAGAATGTTGCCTTCCCACAGCACTTGTTCCTTACAGAATGAGCTGGCTTAAGAAAAAATCCAAGGCCTGTAGATCAGAGGCTATAAAAACTGACCTTTGGTTTGTTGGTAAACCTTTTTTGAGCTTGGAAGTATGTATAAATATACATACATAAATATATAGATTTAAATTATAATACATAGTACATTTTGTATTTCCAAAGATGGAAATAAAAATTCTTCCTTTTTTTAAAAGAGTTCATAGAAGTTCAGTAGCTTATACAGGATTGAAATATCAATAACTGGACACACATTAAGATTATAAGGTATGGCAGTACGTGTTTTACAAGCAGAGGCCCCCAACATGCATTATCTTAAGTCTTATTGTAACTTATAAAACATTGTCAATGTCTGAACATGACTTATTTATTATGGATTAAGTTCTTATCTACAAAGTCTTTTAAAGTGGAT